GCTAGAATTTTATAAATTCTAGCCAACATGGTTTCCTTGACGGAAATTTTATAAAAACAAACTTATTATGTTTTTATAATGAATTAATGAGTATTACCGAACGAGGTTTTTAAACAGATGTAATTTATAGGACTTTAGTAAAGTGTTTGACATAGTTAACCATTCCTTCCTTTTTAAAAGACTCTCTATATATGGTGTTTCTAACCCTCTTTTGTTGTGGTTAAAGTTTTATTGGTTTGACAGATCGTAAGTTGTAAAATTTAATGAATATTTATCAGAACATTTCTATTTTCTATCTAGTGTATCTACAAAATCTATCTCTTTTTTTATTCTTTTTATGTACATTGAAAATTGCTTCCTAATTCAGCAAGTATCATTTATTTGCTGACGACTTAAAAATTTACTGCACTTTAAAATCCAGAGATAATTGTATTCATTTACAAAAAGATTTAGATAACTTTAGTAATTAGTGCTCTATAAATGGTTTGCCTCTAACTGTATCTAAATGTTATAAAATATCCTACTATCAGATTAAAAACAGTATTATACATACTTTCAACTTGGGGGGGGGGTACCCATTTTGCCGAAAAATCATCTTCCCAGGATTTAGGAATAATTATGGAATCAAATTTATCATTTGCGTCACACAACCATATAAGATCAAAAGGATTAATAGCTCTGGGCTTCATTATACGTAATATCCAGGAGTTCAATAACACAAACTGTCTTAAAACTTTACATTATTTGTTGGAAAGACCCATTTTAGAATATGAGAGTATCATTTGGAACCATTCACAGCTTCAATTGAACGGTTAGAGCGAATAAAACGAAGTTTTTTACGCTATTTATTTAAAAAAAAATTACATTTTATTACCAACAGTAACAGAGAGCCTAACTTCCATAATTTCAGTTTTCATTTAGATCCCTAAAGTAGAGATGTCATTATTATGATGTATAATTAATATAAAAGTTATTAAATGGTCACATTTCTTATTCTTATTCTATAAATAGAATATCTATTGAGTGTAATAAAATGTCTTCTTTTGCCTTTTTTTAACCTTATTGTCCATCATTTTTATTTTTAAGTTCTATTATATTTAAATTGTGTTCATAATTAATTTCTGTACTTGAGCTTTTGGCATTCATTCAAATAAACAAATGTTTTTATTTTACTATTTTCCAATGCTGAGTATTACCGCTTTAAAAAGTTAGAAGTTAAGTTTGTGTTGATATTTTAACTTATCTAAATAACTTAATAAGTAACTAAGATTTTATTTTTTTAATAAATTTTGTTAGTGTTCAGTTATTGGGGTTAATAAACTATTAATATAGTACTAAAATAAAATAACATTTCCCCGAGAAATTTAATTAACATGGTTGGAATTTATTCTTACTATCAAATAAAAAATTACATTTTATATGAGCAGCAAAAATTTATATTAGCTACTTATCTTAGACTAAAAAGATATTTTTACTTATTGTAGTAACTAGTAACTTGACTGAATTTAATATTAAAACCAAGTAACTTATAAATTATTCCACAACTTTATTTTTTTTTATCTAACTTATTATCACAAGTTTAGAAAAAATGACTAACTTATTAACTTTGTTTGATTAATTAATTGTGTAGTAAAATAAAAATAAATATAAAAACTTTTTTTGATCGAATTTAACTATTTGATACATCAAAATCTAGACATTTACTGCGAAGTACTGTGACTGGGCAAAAACCCAATCCCTATTTAAATAATTAGTAACAAATAATAACGAATTACTAATAGAGATCTTGATTTTTAACAGATTCTTTACTATTAGATAAGCCGATTTATCATAACGATACGTCAAAAGATCACAAATAGTACCTAGTTGAAGACATTACCATCAAAAATTATTCTCTCGTTCCCCGTAAATGGTGAAAATCCCCCAAAAAATTACGATTTTTAAAATTGGTAAATTTTGACTTTTTTTCTAAAAATTTCCAAAACTTATTGAAAAATGAATGAATTACAATAAATTTTTTATATTGAAACCTTAGATATTTTCGTTTTATTTGATATCATTTTATTGAAAATTTAACACTTAAGCTGCTCACAGAGGGGTATTCAAATTAGAAACTTTTTTACAAAAGTTAACTTTTTCAACTTTTAAAAATCTTCCGGAAATACTGCGTTTTTTAGACATATGTTAAATTAAAGCTTATATTACGTGCTATAAATTAAAAAAATATATATGTCCCGATGACTTATCTTCTACGTGAAAACGGCTGCTGCAGTTGTGTTCAATTTTTCGTTTATTTTAATATATCTTATAAGGATTTGCCATAGCAATGAGTCCGCAAATAAACATAAAATAAAAACTAATCTAACTTACATTAAATATAAATTTATACTTATTTTTGATTATTTTACTTCTTCAAAATAAGAAAAGTTAAAATAATTTTTTGAATTTTTGAAAATTTGTATAAAAAGTAGACATTTTTCAATTTAACTTTTGAAAATGTTCTGGGAAATCTGCGTCTTTTAAATATATGTTAAAATAAAGTTTCTTTTATGTACTAGACGTTCAAAAAAAAATTTGTACCGACAACCTATTTTCTATGTGCAAATGGCAGTCGAAGTGGAACAAAAAATATGAGTTTATTTTGCGATCCATTAATTTCTTAAAATTAAATACTATCTACAGATTTGCATCGAAGCGTTTCTTATGATAACGAGTATAATCACTGTCAGATATCATCTAAACTTGTCCCAACTATGCCACGACCATACTGGGCCATGACCCCACTGTGCTACCGTTTTTTAAACTAAAACAAATTGAAAGAAAGTTAAAGAGACATATCGGATATACATTTTAAAGAAATATTTCATTATTAATTGTAAAGTACATTACGTATTATACCTAATTTAACAATATAAGCGTATTTGAAAGTATCGTTTATACTTCACATCTGTAAATACCAACAATTCCCTGTTGCCATAGTCTGATTTCTATGGATTATAGTGTTCATTGGAACACAAAACAACATTTATTATTAATAATAAATCGGTTGTAACGTTTCGTGTAAGTCCAACAAGTGTAACATTGAAAATGTTTTATAACTCTTAAAGTTGATTTTGAATCGATACACTTTCATTTTATAAGTATTTATACGATCTATGTGTATACGTATAGCGAACGTTGTATTGAATCGCCCAAACATTTTATGATTTTTACGACTATACAGACATACTTGGTAGAAACCTCACTAATTATTTCCATTCGATTAATCTTTTTATCTACTTCTTTATGTATTGTAAAATCAATACTTATGCTACATGTTGAAATAATAAAAATAATGTAGTTTCCTTTTACTTTTACCGCATTTTTCCACGTTAAAACTATTACAGTTGGATGTGGTCCAAATGAAAATTCGTTGTACGAATACTCCCATAAGCCTTCACTAACTACTCCAGTGATAATTTATATAAATTATTGACAACAGTATGCTCGTTAATAATTACAACACGAGAGTTTAAAGTCTGTCATTTTATAATATAAATATATAGCATTTTTAAACTTTTAATATTTAGCATATTTATAATACAATCATAGAACTAAATAACTTCTCACCAAGTTTGACAAGTCAAATAGATACATGGATTTTTTACGAGAGCGTATCTAACTGACCTTTTCTAATTTTTGACTTTATTTACAAACTGTGAGTCGTATTACCAAATAACTTTTAACAAATAACATTATTTTNCACATTTATAATACAATCATAGAACTAAATAACTTCTCACCAAGTTTGACAAGTCAAATAGATACATGGATTTTTTACGAGAGCGTATCTAACTGACCTTTTCTAATTTTTGACTTTATTTACAAACTGTGAGTCGTATTACCAAATAACTTTTAACAAATAACATTATTTTTGTTTGTTATGTTGATGGTTGGGAAAATAAATGTATTAAATAATAATATAATCATAATAGGGAAATATACTTGGAAATAAATTAGGGAAATATTCAGGCCGAGTGAACTACTAGTGTCACTACAGTGGTCAATATAGTAATCTAGCTAGATATCTTCTAAGATAATATTAATTTTGAGAATTCTTTTAGGTTTGGCTTAGTAATATTTATTTTTCGATTTAGAAGTGCATAAATATTTTTCAAATTACTTCGTTATTCCTTATAAAGGTATAACTTATATAGGTTCACTAAGAAAATGATTGATTCAATATATGGAATTTTTCTAACCAATATTTCAACATTTATTAACATTTAAATATAGTGATAGCGAAGTGAGGGTTTTCTTTTTTTTTAGAAATCCCATCACTTTTCCACTCTTTTCTTGCAGCTCAGGTATAAAAATATTCATAACTTCCAAAATATTCGGTCACAAGTCTGTATATAAACCTATTCAAATAATTACAATTTTATTTTCGGACAGTAAATCGCATAGCATTACAAACTATTAATATTATTACAACAAATGAACCATTTATTTGTGAAACGACACAACGTTAAACTAGTGGAAAACAGTAAATAACTGTTCTTAATCGCCGTGAGTTTGTTGAGTTGAAACTGAAATGGTTAGAGGAAAGTGCTCGATAAGTTACGCACAGTTGATACCGACAAATTTTAAATGACACTATTTTACTGGAGGACGCGTTTAAAAGTTTTAGACTCGCGTTGTTCATTTATCGGAAACATTTTAAGGTATTTCATATTAAATGGCAATATTATAAAGGATTTATATAAAGTAATTAATGATTGTGTGTGCGAAAAACGTCCAATTAGAATTGAGCTTGTGATTAATAAAAAGGATTTTACAACAAGTTAACCTATAACGTAAATAAATGTGCATTGGCCAACCGTATTTATGCAAGCAAGATGAAGCTACTCGCTCTGCGGTGGTAAAAGCGGATCCAATGCGCCACGTTGCGCAGAATCAAAGGCCCGACACATAGGTCATATTGCGTGTGGTACAAACGGTGAAGAGTAGTCGTTACGTTGGATACGTTTGTCGCGGCTGTTTTGACCACACGACCGCTACTTCTTGTAAAGCGTATCGGTACACATGGCACTGCAACCACCGGATAGTGTAACTACATCACTTGTACACACATAGCTGAAAATGTCATAAAATTCGTTTTTATTAGTGAGTTCTCGAGGGTTGTTTCGTTTACAAGCATTAGTTATTATCAAGTTACTTTTTATTATATTTTGGTCGACATTTAATTTTAAAATTAGACATATATTTCCCTGTGGGATATTTCTTTAACGGTAATTTTATTACAATGAAAAATTTCGCGGTGTTCAATTGTTGGACTGTGGTTCATAAACAATTATTAGTATCGAAATACAGATTATAAATTCAATAAAATTATTGGTAAGTACTCGTAGATTTTATAGAAAATTTAATCAGAATTATTTGAAATATAACGATATACAGTTAGGTCCAGTTTGTCAATTTCATTAAAATGAAAATATATAAATCAAACAAAAATTGCACTCTAAAACCGCAGAAATATACAAATAATTTTTCTATAGTTCAATGTTAAAATATAAAAATATTAATTATGGGTACCATGCGTAATTTAGTGGTAATGAAAGAGAATATTAATGTTACAGTATCAGACGGATTCATTTTTTATTTTTGTTGTCAATGATATGTAGTTTCAAATATAAGATTTATTTACGCAGTTGTGTATATTTTAAAGCACTACCAGGTTATTATAAACTCGTATAATTAATTAACAGTAGTACATTATTCAAATAAAATATCACAAATAAAGTATATGAATATTTTTGTTGACTCTAGTTTTTCAATGATTTAATTTTGTTCGGAAAACAATGTAATAATAAATCTGTTTAATATCAAATAGTGTTCTCAAAAGAGCAACAATGGGTGCTTAAATTAACAGGGAGCGCAAAAGAATGCAACTTCCTTACTTTTTAGCGTGACCTTACTAAATTATTACACTGAAATTCAGAAAATTAGTAGATATATCAACAGGTACGAAATTATTCGTAGTTGTTTTGATTTTATCGTGGTTACTTAAAATAACCTTGTTTTTTCAAATGTATTTTACTACAAACATTTTTAAAAAACTTTATACTTGTTGTATTTTTCTAAAGTTTATTCTCCGAATAAATCATAAATAAGTAATCAAAACTAAACGCATCACTCTAATTTGTCTGTAGTATTATTTATATAGTTTTCTAAACGACTATCTAAGAATTACAACACAACAATTATTATTTTAAGGTATAATAAATGTCAATTGTAATTGTAACTTACATTACTTAATTATTCGAAATCAAAAGTTTCTATAATTACAACGATATTAAAAGTTTTTAGATATTTAAAGTGTTTCATACAAAGTTCTAAAAATATTTTTCGTCTTAATTGTTATGTTGCTAAAATATTTATCATTAATTAATTAAAAATAAAAAAATAATTTAAAATCATTAGTACCTGTTGCATGCATTATACAATGTTTTTCAGAATAAAAATATTTAAGACCTTCTACATAGAAATATATTTTTTGTACAAAATAATCTACTTTACTCTTTTAAAAATGGGTCTAATTAAAGTCATAAAAATATTAATTTAGTGTAGACATTTTATCACAAAGGAATTTTCTTTACAGAAAAAGTAAAAAAAGTATAAGAGTTTGTCTCTTCTCCTTACCTTAGATTATAAATTAAACTAAATAAGCCATAAAAACCAAAAATTGAGAAATCGTTCTAAAATTTTTCTCTCAAATACTTTATTTAAACTTAAAAAACTTCAAGCTTTTATTTAAACGTCTATCAAGTAACTAATATTCTCAAAAGTCAACAGATTTTTACATAAATTTATCAAATCATTTATAAAATTTATAAATTTAATTTAATGAAATGTTTGAGGTATTAATATACAATCGTTCACTTTTTGTGTTTTTTATATTTATTTAAGTTTTTCGTATTGAAATATACATATAAGGCCAGTCTTAGAAAATATCAATATTTGTTCTAGATCATATTGTTGATTAAAAACATTTATTATTTTTTTTTCATCTCTAATTTAAAGTAGTTGCATAATTTATAATAAAAATTGTTTATGTCCGAGGTTCTACAAAATCTAGGACCAGTCCAAAATGTATGTTTAAATGAAACTTTTTGATTATTTTTAAAACATTAAAAAATGATTTAATCTAATGTACTTAAAATATTTGAAATAATTAAAAATATGTAATACATTGTCGTAAATACCTTTTGTTCGGTTGTATAATGAAAACAAAATGAAGTGTTGAAGACCAATTTCCATTTTCAAAGTGTTCTTTGACAATTTTTTTTTTATTTTACAAAACGTGTTCCTGACAACGAGCTTATATGTTTAACACGAAAAAAAAAAATTAATTATTAGTTATAAGTTCTTAAGACAAATAAAAATAATTTTATTTTTAATACTTTAAATTTTACTTGAGTATTTCATGCGGCTTGTATATGACACCTATTGGTGATTTTACCTAAATAACTCTCATGGGATTTAATAAATTATGTATTCTTCAATTCCCAGTAGTTTCATTGAATTAAATATTAGGATTAATTTCAGTGCATATGAACGGTACACTAATAATAATTATTATCCGTCACTGTGATTAATCGTACGATTTGTAGAGCAGACACTGGCGCTTATCATAACAGAACCACATGTTGATGTATAATGCAAAATATTATTTTCTGTCTTTTGTATAGAATAATATCAATTTGTTCAGAGTGTATAAACAATATTGTTTAATTATGATTCATGAAATACCTTTGAAATATAAAACATAATATTACTTTTTCTTGACAGAAGTCAATAGTTCTATACGTTCTATAATATCCTAAAAAACATTATACCCCCCTGTAATTTTAATTAACTTTGGTTTTTTTAAATAGAAACATATAAGTTTAATCAAATTACGAACTAGAAAATGATCTATTCAAGAAAATATCAGTTCGATTACAACTTTTGGACAAATATTTGGAAAAAGTATTAGTATTTTTATAATAAAGCGGGAGATACAGTGTGGTGAATTAATGCCTAGAAATAGAGATTTATTATAAACACAACGATTTTATGTTTAATAATAGTTAATCAATTTTGTTCGATTTTTCAAAATTACAATATTTTACAGTAGATTAAAATTTTTTAACTGAGATTATAAAAATTGATTTGATATCAAAAATATAAGAAAAGTAATACTTAGGGTTTAATACTGTATTATTATAGTAGTAACCTTAATAAAATAATTATTTTTTAAGAGTATTAAATTACAGCATGTAATATAAGTTAAACGTAATTACATTAAAGGTTTTTCTTCTAGATAAAATAGGATTCCATGTTCTTAATTTGGACCCATCACTAGTAATATATTACCATGTGTTATATCATAATTATTCTGAATTTTAGAAGTTAGTTCGATAAGATTTCTATTGATGTAAATAGAACTACACTCAATAATTTCTAGAAAATGTACGTTAGTTTAAGTGTTTAAGTGATTTCATTTTTTAATATTAAAACTCCGTTTGAGCTAACTAATTTTTAGATGGATAAAAGTTATATAATTTATCACTATATATATGGAGTAATAAATATGTGCACTATAGTGTCCATGTTTTCGATAAAAACAACTATTTTACATTATTTTAAAAGGCTAAATAACTTTTATTTAAATTACTTGATAGCTTTAAAAATCATTTTTAATTGCATTGCGTTATTTAATTTGATATAAATATTATATCAAATTATGTCCTGAATATACAACATACGTTATAAGCTTTTTAATTAGGATTAAAAGTAAATAGATTGACATAGCGTTAATTGTCGCAATAAGTAGAGAACAGTTATCTGGTAATGCTATTAACTTAATGTCAAACAAAACGCTTTAATAGGATTTTACAGTAATGGGTAAGTTTAAAGTAGAAACAAATATAAGAACAACAGCTAAAAAGGGTCAATGGATCGCAAGAGAAAAATATCTTATTTGGAAACACGTATTATACGAAACATCTTTTGTCTTTTCCATTTTTAACACAAACAAATTTATATAAAATTTAAAAAACAAGCATTTTAAGTAAGTACAGTCTAAAATAATGTTAATCGTGTTTTAAGCATGAATAAACCGCTATTGGTTTATTATGTAGTTATTGGTATTCCTTTATCGCAAAAGCAAAACTAAAGAACCCAAATCTTTTGAAGAACTACTACCTTTTTACAATTACAAGCTGTTTTGAAGGTATTTTTTTTAAAATTTAAACTTAAATATTTTTTCTCAAGAATTTTTTTAAAAAACCTATTTAAAATTTATTACAATTATTTTTACTTTTCTCAGGTATATCATACTAGATAATGACAAACTGAATTAGTAAAACTTAAAAATTCACGAATAATAAATATGAATATAATATTAACTAAAAAATGAATGTAAATTAAGCGAAAGACAACAATAATAGAATTTTGAAATAACTACTCGAATATTATTATAAGTTGCATTATTCATTAACGAAACGAGGAAGAAAAATGTTGACGTTGGAACTGTCAAATTGATATTAAGGAATATTAAATCAAAGAATTATTGAAGAACGTCAGCGGAGGTTATTAACTTGTTTCTTAGTTGAAATCTCTATACAATATTATTTATTTATATAAATGTATACGTAAATATTTATTTATTACTTTTTTGTATCACAAAATAGGCAGATTTTGATTGTTGTGCGAAAAAAGAACAATATGCAATTTAACTTTCTAAGGTCTAATATTTAAAAATATTGTCTGATGTTTGACGCACAATAGAAACAAAGCTTCTTAACGGTAGTCTGGAACCTTTTTTAAAAATCATTGTTAAGAAATGTTTTATTGATATTTTTTAGTTTCATATATTTCTCGAATTATTATTCAATAGTTGATTTTTAATCCAGACTTCATATCTTATAAGGGTTCCAAATTAATTTTTTTAAAGGACTACATAAATATTTAACTAATTTATAAATTAAATAGTGATATAATTAAGAAAATGTCATGAAAGATATCAATTTTTGACCGATAATTTCAAGAGTTATTTCTATTTTAAAATATTGAGCGGAGGTGAGGTGTGGTTTATGTTACTTTTATCATTACGCATTACTCTGTGGAGCTTTTCCTCCACTTAGTACTTCAAAAATGTTATTAAAATTCGAAATAATGGGTTAAAAATTGATATTGATATTTTTTCCTTAATATATAATTTTTTGTTTTATATGCTAGTTAAATATGCATGTTGCCGTTTAAAAAAAATTAATTGACACCCTTATGAGAAATAATTGTGACTAAAAACTTTATAAAATAAAAATGAATGAATTATTCAGCAATATTGTTGCACAGTTTATATTCATATTATAGTTAATTGGAATAACTAAAAAAAAAATGGTATAAAAAAAAAGTAAAAGAAATATTTTCTCTCACACTTTTTTAGCTTCGATGCGAAGCGGAGAAGGTATTAATTTTACTATGATGTGTTTTTTTTTTTTTTTATGTCTGTTGCCACTTTTTCTCAGCTCTCATAGGACCGATTTCTTTCAAAAATACGTCAAAAGATCACAAATCGTATCTAGTTGAAGACATTACCCTTAAAAATTGAAAAAAATTCCCTTGTTCCCCGCAAATGGGGGAAATATCCAAAAAAATTACAAATTTAAAAATCGCTAATTTTCGAAATTTTTTCACTTTTTTTTCTTAAAACTTCCATAAC